CAGAGAATCCATCCTGGAAAAAAGATGAGCTAGCCATGATATCCATGGAGGAGATGGCAGGGAAAAGAAATTAGGCCAAGGAAGAGAGGCAGGTCCCCTTAGCCTTTATCCCTTGGAACCTCCCCCTCATGTTGCAGAGGAGGGTGACCCTGATTCCTGGGGACCCTATGAAAAAACCTAAGAAACTGGAAAAACACCAAAAAAAATTAAAGGCACATACCAACATAGGAATATTACATTTGTGATTTTTCCTCCCTTCCAGCAACAAAATCTGTGGTCAATGCAGAAATTTTGAAAAATACAAAAAAAAAAAAGACATACAAGAAAATTAATAATCACTATATAACCTGAACATTCAGGGTTATAATTTATACTGTTGACGGTTCCTTTAAAAAGTTTTAGGCACAAATTTCATTAAACTTTTAAAATATGTATCATGTTGTTTTGAGACCTTTCTTTTCACTTAAAATAATATCTATTGTCCCATATCATAAAGTTCTTGTATACTGTGCAATTTTTAATGGTTACTCAACCTTTCATTATATAGATGGACCCTCATTTAGCCAGTCTTCTTCTTGACACTGCTATCCATAAGAGAGTTCAACAGTTCCGTCATTTCCCATCTTTTTTTTTGTGTGTGTGTGTGTGTGTGGTGCTATAGACCAGGCACTGTTGCAGATACTAGGTGTATAACGTCAAACCTAGTTCCTGTCTTCAAGGAGTTTATAGTCAGAAGAACGAATAATAAACAACAAACAGACAATTACAGTAAAGAATGACCAGTGTGATGCTACAGATGCAAGTTTGTACAAATCTAAGGACATAGCTACTAAGGGTTTGGATAACTATTCCCCAAAGGCTCACGTGTTGAAGGCCACCAGTCCCTGGCACTCGTGGGAGGTGGTGGGATCTTCAGGAGGCAGGCAGGCTGTTTTAGTTAGCTTTTTTTTTTTTTTTTTGTCTCTGTGACCAAAATACCCAAGAACACTTACAGGAGGAAAAGTTTATTTTGGGCTCACAATTTCAGAGGTCTCAGTTCATAGAAAGCTGATGCCATGGCTCTGGGCCCAAGGTGAGGCAGCATATCCCGGGGTGGAGGAAAGCACTTCACTCCATGGTGGTCAGGAAGCAGAGAGCAGACAGAGAAGGGGCCGCTTCCCCAGGGACCCATCTCCTCCAGCCACACCCCACCTGCCTATAGTTCACACTCACTCAGCCCTTTCAAACTAGGATGATCTGATTAGGTCACAGCTCCCATAATCTAATTACAGGAGGCTTGGGGGGATACCTCATATTCAAACCACAACAAGGACCAAGTGGGAGGAAGTTAGGTCACTGGAGATGTGCCCTTCAAGTGGATATTGGGACCCTGCCCCTTCTTCCCTCTCTTTTTGCTTTCTGGTAGTCATGAGGTGAGCAGCTACTCTACTGCTCACTCCGTCCGTGTTATGCTGTCTTACCACAGGTCCAAGAGCAATGGGCCAACAATGGACTGAAACCTCTGAAACCATGAGCCAAAACAAACTTTTCTTTCTTATGAATTGATTCCCTCAAGTATTTTGTCATAGTGATGAAAAACTGACTAATAGCTCAAATTTTCAAGAAATATTCGTATTTTCTTTAACAATATAATTTTTATTTTAATCTCTATTCTACTAGAGTGATAGTTAAATTCATTTTGGATCCCTCTCCTTTTCTTGAGTTGGGAATAAGTTTTGTACAGCTTCTATAACACTGGGGCCTGTGTGTGTGTGTGTGTGTGCACCTTTATTTTGGAGAGATCTTCCCCTCCATTCTGTCTGTACTCAGACCTCACTCCCAGGGTCACTCCATGTAATACTCATTGGTCCACCGGAGCAACCAATGGGGTCACTCATCAGTCTTCTGTGCCTGTCCCCTTCATAACCTGTGTTTCTCACCATTCCTTCCAACAAATTTTTCTCAGGTTCACTGTCCCCCAAGTCTTTTCCCGGGAATCAATGACGATCCCCCTATTAATAGGGAGATGCTAGAACTTTCTCACTCATGACTTGTGAAGATTTCTCTTCTCTCCTCTGCTCTCCCCAGACTGTTTCTCTAGTCTCAGGAAGGAGACCAGGTGGGCACAATATTTGATGCCTGGGCCCCAAAGGCCCAAATGCATGGGGAGGAAGTGTAGGGGTGGACAGAGTGGGGAAATTATTTCTTGATGCCTCAGAAATGTCATTCTTTGTAGAGTGCATGCATGAGAAGTGAAGAGATGCTTCTAGAAAGAGTGGACATACCAGCTGAGACTTCATAGATGAGGGCACTAGCCAGGTGAGCAGATAGCAGCAGGGGAAGTCTCCCAGGGGAGGGGAGAGGACTGCTTCTGAGGACATCTTGAGGACAGCCATTTGCCCATACATGGTCAGACTGGTGGAGCCAGAGTTTAAGGAAAGTAATACCCTGGATGCTCTCAAATACCATATAATTCATCGATACTGATTTAGAGGCTATCTATTATGCTGGGTTAATTTAGGTATAACCTGTCCTAGGAAAAAAAATGAGGTACCAACCCTCAGTGTTTTTCTGGCATAGATGAGCATTGCCCATGTGCTTGATATAAATGTATTGAATTGTCATGGTAACAACCGCTTGTAGAAGATTGAATACAACACAAACTGGCACTATAAAGAAAGGTGGAAAACACTGGTACCCTAAAGAGGCATAAATTACTTAAGAAGAAGCTCAAGGGTTCAAAATCCCTTTGAGACACTTTTTTAGATACTAGTAAGCAGTCAATATACTATTTGAAAAAATATCTCCCATGTATACTGACTTGAGTCATCCATATTTGTGGAGAAAATAGAGCCCCCCAAAGTAGTGTAATAGTTTATTTTTCATTATTTCTTTTTTATTACCATTTAGCAAATTCAAAATTATCCCAATATTCAAAATTATCCTATGTCCAATCTATAAATTCTCTGACAACTCCATGTGATCTTCAACTAGTATTTTTTTTAAAAAAAAAATTGATACTGGTGATTGAACCCATGGGTGTTTTACCAATGGGCTACATCCCAGCCCTTTTATTTTTGTTATTTTGAGACAGGGTCTCACTATGGTGCTGGGGCTCTTGCTAAATTGCTTGAGGCTGGCCTCGAACTTGTGATCTTCCTGATTCTATCTCTTGAGTGGCTAGGATTACAGACATGTGTCACCATGCTCGGGCTGCAGCCTTGCTGCTTGGCAGTCTTCCTGTTAGACTGAAAGTTAGTGAGTCCAGAGGGGCCCAGCCACATAAGTAATGAACAATAAAGCCAAGAAAGGAGACTCCTATGCCCAGCTGCTCAGAGCAGAAGAAATTGGATCTGAGCTAAAAGGACCCCCCAAGGTACTCCATGTACTCCCAGAGCCTTTACCCACAAACAGTGGTTAATCTATATGTCTTCCCCTTTAAGAACAACAATAACAACAAAAAAAATCAGAGGAGTTTTGAATATAAAAGGAAACAAAAAACAAATTTCTGGGTCCTACTGGACCCTTAAAAATATAGGTATAGGGAAGAGGAAGCAGATGCAAGGCAGGCAGGCAAAGTGTGATTTAAAACCTATAGCTTTTTTTTTTTTTTTTTTTTTAACAAGCGGAGCACTTTGAGATCTGATTTCAGGGACACATACAACTACCAGGAAGGAAGTAGGCTGCTGAAACAGCCTTACTGAAAAGACCTAACAGAAGAAGGAAGTATTTAAAGAGCTGTCTTGATGAGTATTAATAACACACATGTTCCATAGCAGATTTTTTTAAAAAGTCTTTATTTATTGACTACTTATTATCATACACATCAATATTTTTAAAAAGGAAATTTACATAAAAATTCATGAAATATATTTACAGAAATATGGTATATCCCTTAGAGAAGGAATAACTCTTGATCTTTTCTTTTCTCCTCCACATCTCCCTTCTCTTCCCCTACATTTCCACTACATTCATGCACATATTCCATAAAGCAGTGAAAATAAATACCAGGAAAATTGACCTTTACTGCATTCACATCACAGACTAGTCTGCAATACAAAAAAGAAATGGAGATCCAAAACCTATATCCACAAGGCTTGATTCCTGGGCCAGGCGAAGAAGCAACTAGCCATATGATAAGTATGGCACAGTAAGTGCGAATAGTATGGTAGCCTTAATGCAACTTTAAAATGGATGCAGCCAGCTACAAATAATTTAGGGAGATAGGTGATAAAAATAGAGATCTTAAGAAATCTCACTATATCAGTAAAGCAATTGCTGGTGGGGAAGGGAAAGACTGTCACTGGAAAGGAATAAAAAGGGATTTAAAACACGGCTGGATTTTTACTAAAACAGTAACTAATACCAAATAATAATAATAATTTCTCTTCCAGGTGCAGCACATTAACCAATGCGGAATGTGCGGGCACCTAAGGTTCCCAGAATCCCCCGATGCTGGGGTTCATACCCAATGACACGGCATGGCAAGGAATCCTCATTTGTGCCTTAGTCCAGGACCCACTTCTATCCAAACACAGACTGAGAGAATGGTTCAAGGTTTCTGTTTTAAAGGAGTCGTTCACTTGGTTCTCCATAGTGTTCCAGAACACACTGTCCCGAAGTTTTACTAAACAAATGACACCCAAGAACAAGAAATACGCTACAAACATGCACCAATGGGACCTGAAGATTTCTTACTCTGCAATCCAGTGCTCTTTAGCACACAACAAGTATCTGAACCCTTTAACAGGGTCTTCCCACTGAGGACAAACTAAATTCTAGTCTGTGAATCCACTTTATGGAGACAAGAAATGAGGAAGCCATTCATTTCCAAAGGCCTGAGGCAATTGTCAGGATTCTTCACCTGATTGGTCACTTCATAGTTCACTTCCTATAGATCCCCTCAAGATTAAAAGGACACACACCTGGACATAAAGATGAGATTGGAGATCATTGCCTGAGCCAACAAGCATTTTCCAGAAAATGCAACTCCACTGTTAAAGCAGACACACACACACATATATATATGAACTATATATATTTCACACAGTAATTAAAAATCCAGTATCTACTTCACTTGAGAGAGACTCTAAGGAGCTTCAGGGAGGTGCAGTGGGTTAAATATCATCCAGTGAGCAAGACCACAGGCTGGGTGCCCTGGAAAACAGCAGTTTCTAATTTTATTTCCTATCCTCCTAGGATAATATATCCCAAAATACTATGCATCTATAAGATGTATAAATTGCTGCAGTTTGTGGAGCCTATATTGGCTGACCAACAAATCCTTGCTGTGGGGCTACTGAGATATCTTAAACCAAACTGAGGACATTGCACTGGAATCCCACAACGATTCTTAAGTTTATGTATACTTATAGAAAACTGAAGTGTGTTGGAAGAATAAATTGAATTCTTCTTTGTGGCTGCTTCTAGGGAGGGGGATTTGGTTTGAAAAAAAAAGCTTTTGTTTTTTCTTCTTCTAGATTGCTCACATTTTCTGTAGTTAATATGTATTTTTTTAGTACTAAAAATCCCTTTTGTAAAAATTTTTAAAAATGCACCCCAATACTTGATTGCTTCCTGAACTTGATAAATGCTATAATCTGTGTAACACAAGGGATACAGCAGGCATTTAATATGTTGTTGAATGAATTAAAAGACTAAACATTAGGGGAGGATTGGCACATTATTTGAGAACTATCAACTCTGAGCCTGGAAATAAAAGCAATTATTTTGTAGAAGGAGAAAAAAAATATGGGAGCACTCCAGTCTAATGAAAAAGCAAGAAAGTAAGGAGTGAGGTTTGCAAAAGCAAGTGGGGATCTTTGGAATTCTCACTTAAAAAAAAGTATTTAGAAAAAGCTCAGTGATTTTAAGGCCTTGTCAAACTACTGTTGGCATGAGGAAGCATCTAATACACAAAATAAGCAGAAACAGCCCACTGAGTCTGCAGTTATGCAATCAGTTGGTCGGGTGTCCTGACAAGTTCACAACCTGGGCCACTGGCTCCTCCTCCTTAGTATCGCCATGGATACCATCCAAGAGCCAAACAAAACAAACAAAAGAGGGGAAATGTCATGGAGCTTTGAAAATGTATCCTTTTTGGCACTCAGATTATTAATAATCTGCCTTTTTTCTTCTTCTTTAAGAAAAATGTTTAGCAATTTCAAAAGAATGAAATACAAAGAATAAAAAGACAAACTGAAAAAAAAATGTAATCAGTCATTATTACTAGAATGTAGGACAGACAAAAATCTCCCATCCAAGAGTAGCCCTAATGCTTTTTGGCTCAAGAAAATGGCAACAGAGACTACCAACTGGCTTCCAGGGGAAGCCAGGAGAGGAAGCAAATGTGATGCAGGGTGGAGCCCACCCTGAGAAGACCCCAGGGCCCACCCTGAGAAGACCCCACGCAGATGGGGAGATGGGTCAGCCCAGAGCACTATGGCTCAGCCTCAGGCCAAGATTCTGGTCCATTCATTCAGCAATCATTTCCCATGAGAATTACAGCTACTGCACACATGAATACACTTCTTGCGGGGGGGGGGGGGGATCGGTTAGAGTAGTCTCTAATTTAGATTTTATTTCCCTGAGAAATGATAGAGCACTTAAGTGCTTTTCTCACAAGAATTGGTAGTTCGATGCTGAAATACAAGTTTTCTCAGTCTTCAAGTAAGAAGTAACCCAGCATTGAAGTAAATGTAAACACATTACTTGGTAATTTTCACAGTTATTGCCAATGATGACAGTCAATAGAAACACAGGAAAAATCTGCTTGATCTGGTAGATGCATAAGTGCATCTGTCAATCAGATACTGCTGGGTTGCTGTACATATTCTTGATGAGCTCAAAAGAAGAAGAGGGTGGTCAATTAGCTGTCCTTGTCAAAGCTTGGTACTTATCATGAAACAAACTTAGTTGTTTTGACAGTTTTTTCACTCCTGGATGGAGGAATGTCGGATAGATCTGTGGTAATCCTCTGGACTGCTAATGTGTTCTGGTAAATCGTAGCCCCTTAGGAAATGTCCACTGTTTTGTTGAGCAAAATAATATAGTTGTCTGGCTAGCAGAGGTTCCACCTAATAAGATATTTTAAAAAATATTACTGAGATATTCGTTTTAACATCATGCAATTGGCTTATCATGAAATAACACTCAAATCCTAATGGTTAAATTCTAAATAAGTCTAAAGTTATATGCTATAACACATCAAAGCATTTCATATTTGGAGCTATCTGAATTTTTTTTAGTTCTTATATAGAGCAACATGTAAACAGAATCTACTTAGTTCTGGGTTTCAATTGAGACTAAAGTTAAAGATGGTACTTTCAAATCAACTACACTTGCAATTTACAGATTTACATTTAAGAATGTACATTATCTGACAAAATAATCAAATTAATAAGTCAGGTAAATTTCAGGATAATGTAAGCTAGTGAATTTGTTTTTCCACCATTGCTCTTTGACAGTGTGAAGGGATTATTCTGAATGACTTAAGATTTCATTTTGAATAATTCTAAACCAAAGGTAAAGGAAAACAACAACAACAACAAAAACAACAGCCGCAGACTGCCTTTATGGGAAAAGAGAGGCTAATTTGCCCCAGATTGACATAGTTTGGTTATTAGTGTGAATCATATTCACCAGAACCAAAGTCAATAGTCAGCTTTTCCTGACTTTATAGAATTTAAGACAAGATGAAAGCTGTCATCAATTTTGCTATTTTCTATTAAGTTGAACCATTTTGATATTTGCTATACAGTCACTTGCATAACTCCTTTGTAAGTAACTGAAATGAATTAAGTCCATAATCAAAAAGTAGATTCATGTATATCTTCCCTTTATGGGTCATACAGTACCATTTTGAGGGGTGTCTTGCCTGAGCAACCACCTACTCTAGGCCATTCCCTTCATACATCCTGCAAATCAGATCCATGTAGTATTTTAACATCTACTCTTTAAATGTTGCTTATCAAGACCAGGTTTACTTATTTATTTATTAACACTCTCTATTGAAAACAAGAGATATTAGTGATTCTGTCATTAGCATATCAATCACTGGAGATAATTCAGGAGAAAATTCTAAAGTCTATGGGCTTATATTTTGGTTAGTTGGTTGGGTTTTACAATCAAGAAGGGAGATTCATATGTTCAGGATTAGAGGTGTTTTACTTCAATTTCTTTTTCAGTACTGAGGATCAAACCCAATGCCTTGTACATGCTAGGCAAGCTCTCTACCAGTGAGCTACACCCATAGCCCTCAATTTTCAATACAAAATATCATCTCAGAGCTAAAAATTTCATCTGAATTGGTATTGTGGAATGTAACATTTTTCCTGGTAATATCTGGGTGTGTAGTAATGTAAGTTTTCATATTCAAGCATCTTAGTATTCAAGATGGTTTTCTATGATGAATGAATGTTAAATGCTATCTATATAAACCTGTGTTCTTTTTTTATGAAACAATGTTTACTTGCCACAGTGACACTCCTCTTGCTGTGATCCCATAAAGAGGGATCAATCTACTTGGACTTCTTGAAAGATATACCCTCTTTCAAATAGCACATATTCATAATCAAATAATTCCCCCAAAATCTAGAAGTAAAGGGGCTTGGGCAACATTTGGAGGGCACCTACAAAATACACAAATGAAGTCCGTCATGGTGGCCCACACCTGTAATCCCAGTAGCTTGTAAGGCTGAGGCAGGATTGTGAGTTCAAAGCCAGCCTCAGTAACTTAATGAAGCCCTAAACAACTTATAGTGAGACCTATCTCAAAATAAAACATATTTTTTAAAAAAGGGCTGGGCATGTGTCTCAGTGGTTAAGTGCCCCTGGGTTCAATCTCTGGGACCTAAATGAGTAAAATTTAAAAGATACACAAATGAAAGAAAGCTTCCTAAATGGAGAAAAATTTCTCTCTCTAGGGAAGATCCACTAACCTGGCAGTATTTTTAAAGTTCTATTAGGCATGGAGAATTTTGAAGGGCAACTTTGAGTATCAATACTTTAAAATCCCTATAAAATGAGAGTATGACAATTTGAAAAAGAAAGAGAAAAAAAAAAGATGGGACAAGTGGAGCCCTTGGTCTGAGCTTTGTGCCCTGGTTCTGTGATGAGTGGGTCTCAAGGGTGGAAACAGCACGTGGTTCCTTGGGCTTTGCTGTGCACTGGACCATGCTTCCTCCTCTATTTTAAGGGTTCCACTTATTTTCCCAGGTGGTTTGACATTTACTTTTCAGATTTCTCTAAGTAGCACTTTGCCCTCAAGAACAGGAAAACTCGATTCAATGATGATGTAACTGCAGACTCACGTGAGCCGTGATGAGCTTCCTTTGCCTCTGAGGGTCTGGAAACTCCTCCCCGAAGCACAGGGTCACTTGGAATCTTGGCAGGGGACGGCCATGGTGCGCGAATGCTTGCAGCTCTGAGGAAACCCACAAAAGCAAACCAGGTTAAACAGGAAGTAAGGGCTTTCTGTGATTCTTCACTATGAGAAGAACAGTCACTCTTTATTTCCCTAAATAGGGTCCCTTATCATGCAGACTCCAGAAACAAAATCACATGTACAAGTTCACATATGTGTGTGTTTCGTCATTTTTCCTCCATTCTTTTCAGGGGAATATGGTCTAAGCTGAAGATCATTGCTGTGCAGCACCAAACGCATCAGGATGCAAGTGATTGAAGAGAGGAGAGAAAGAGGGTGAAGAAGAAAATGAAATGTCATGAAAATGAAATGTCATGTTGAAGCAAAAGAATAATGTCTTATACAAAGATGACAGTTTCATTTTTTTAAAAAAATCAGAATGTTTCAACATCCCAGAATTATTTTAAAAACTCATGCCTTGACTATGAAAGAGACATTAATCCAGTGTCTGTGCTACTGGTGACATCTCCGTGGCTCAGACACTTGCTAACAGCAGCTTGTCCCACTTGGCACTAGGTGTGAACCCCAAACTGTGGAACTCTGAGCAGACTTGAGGACACCTTGAGAACAGAATGATGACTTGAAAAGGGCATGATGATGTTCCACTGGCCGCCCCTCTTGTGGATATACATATCCTGAAGCCACTGCTCTTATCTGAACAATATAAAACAGATAGGAACACTGTTGGAAAGACATGTGTCCAGGGTTGGGGTGTAGCTCAGTGGTAGAGCACTTGCCTAGCATGTACAAGGGCCTGAGTTTGATCCCCAACTCAGCCAAAAAAAAAAAAAATTAAATGAAGAATTTTTAAAAAAGAAAAGAAAGACATGTGTCAAATCATCCAGTCCCTGGCATTAACTCTTTTCCCCTTACCCAGACTCAAAGAAAAACTCTAGAGTTTAATGTCATGTCTGAAAAAAAAAAAGAAGTAAATTTACACAGGAGCTGTTAAGGCTTCTGCAGAGCAGCAAAGCAATGCATCCTTATCAGATACACACCCTTAGGCCATGCCTTTCGGGACTGTCCCTAAGCAGGGTACAAATCCTGAATGGGTAGATATCAAAGATTTCCACTGCTCTCTGCAACTAAGGTTTCTAGCTAACTCACACAACTATTTTAACTTCCTGCTCTGTTTTTTCCCCCTTTCTTCTTCCAGAATTCTAATCAAACTCAACTGACTTAGTCAGAATGTGTAAAACACATTCACACTGTTGTGGCCTGGGAGCACACCTACACAAGTTAATCAGAGTAGCAAGTTGGCACAATTCTCTGAAAAAGTCATGCCTCAAATGATTGCTAATACAAGAATGTTCACTGGGAATCCTTAATTATGCAGAAGCTGGTCTGCACAGCTGCAGTTTTAAAGTTCACAGCATCCTTCCTGTACCTCAGTGAACCTCAGAGGTTGCAGTGGACAAAAAGCACAGGCTTCTGTTACAAAGGAAGACAAAAAATTAAAAAAAAAAAGAACGATTCTTGCTCACAGATAAATATGAAATATGAAATTCTAGGCAAGAAAATTCACATCCTCAGGACACCCACTCGACTCTTGCTCCAGCTTCTTATCTGTGGCCACCTCTCACCTGTCAGCTCTGACTCAAAGTGTACCTTACAGCTCACAGTGAAGACATTCCACCTCCCTAAAACAGGCATGGCAAGAGGAACTGAGAGAAGCAAGTGCCATTTTTTTCCAGGATGCCTTAATTAGAAAGCCCTCACCCTGGAGTAACCTCTGAATCTAAAGATGCCAAGATCTGCAATCTCTTAGGAAAACCCAACCTAGGGAGCACCAGCCTTCCAGGGTACATGACCCTTCAGACTACAAGATGGACATAAGAGATATAGACAGGTGCCTGTCAGAGGCTCATTGTATTTCCCCTGCCTGTCACCATGAATACCATGCCAGACCCAAGACAGTGAGGATGGTCCAGCCTGGAGACATTTCTGCTCTTAGATCAAGGGGTATCCCAACCTCATGTGTCTTCTTCATCATCCTACAGCTACCTCAGACAACCAGAGATGGTGCTTCCTCTTCCTTGTGTCCCACCTCTGTGGGAAGGGTGATTACCTAGGGATATATTTGTTTTGGGTACCAAAAAATAATTTGGATGGGTTTATACAAATTTGGGCCTCTTTAACAGAAAGGTCATGTAAATGGCACATAGATGACATATATATATATATATATATATGTAAATTTTAATATACTTATATGTCTTTACATATATATTTTTATATAAATTACATATACATTATATATACATATGTATTTTTTTTTCAAGAGGCAGGTTCAGCATTTGGCAATCCACTACTTCTGAATAATATCCAAAGGAATGAAATTAGTATGTTGAAGAGACATCTATGCTCCTATATTCACTGCGGATTATTCATAATAGTCAAGATAGGGAATGACCTGTCCAACAGCAGATGGATAGAGGAAATGTGGCATACTTATACAAAAGAATACCGTTCAAGCATAAAAAAAAGAATAAAATCCTGTCATTTGTGACAACATGGATATGCCTGGAGGATATATTAAGTGAAATAAGCCGGGAACAGATAAGACCAAGAACCACATGACCTCACCTATATGTAGAACCCAAAATAGCTGAACTTACAGGAGTAAAGAGTAGAATTGTGGTTCAGAAGCTGGGGGAGGGGAGAGAGATGGAGGTAAAAGGACACAAAATTTCAGTTAGGAGCCCTAAATTCAAGAGGTTCATCGTATAGCACCATGACAACAGTTAATTATGGTAGCTGAACTCTACACTTTTCTGAGTTCAACTATTTTCAAGTATATAATATACCTGAAGTTTTAAGAAGAGTTCGTTCGCACCACCAAAAAATGACAGATATGTGAGGTACTGTCTATGTAAATTGGCTCAATTTAGCCATTTTACAATGTGAACATATTTCAAAACAGTGGGCCAGGCAGAGGAACATGCTTGGTGAAAAGGAAGAGGCACTTTAAAAAACAAAGACAGGAGGTATTTTGAAAGGGGGGCCTAGTGGAAGAATAAGTTTAAGATAAGGTAAGAACCAGCAAGGAGTTGGCAAGCAGAGCAGCCCTCCTGTCCCCAAAGCATCCTCCATCTAGACAACAAATAGAACACTGTATGAGGCCCCCACAATGACATGTTCAATGATTTCCCAAAAATCCACCCAGGGCTATTTTAACTGACATGAAATCAAAACTAGGAAAAGAAAACACACTGGTTCTGGAAAATATGATTAGAAACACTCATGGGACAGAGAAAATACAAAACCTTCCCATCATTTCCCCCTTGACAAATCAATTCAGTACACTCCTATCCTTGGTCCCACCTGCAGGGTGGCATGTGCTTAAGGATGAGACATCTCATAACCAAGAACAGTATGCTTCTAACCTTCACAGTTTTTTCTAGGAACCCGGAAACATCACCAATTAAGCTTGTTAAGATCACCCGGCCCCCCAAAACGGAACCTTGTTAAGAGGTGACTACTTTTGAAAACCAAAACCCTGAGATATCAGCCTGAGCCACGGTCCACCTGGGCCTTCTCATCCAGACATTCTTTGACAATGAGGGGAACAGATGATAGAGGCAGAGATGACCTGTGAACCAGTCAAGTAACCTATTCTGGAACAAAGCCCACTGGGCTCTGGGGCTAACAGGAAGAACTCTGCTTGGGGTAGGAGGCACCTGTCATTTCTGACTCCTGCGGTCACATGCCACCACTACCTCCATTCTAGAAGACATAAAGTGCATTACCTGACAGAAACTGCTGCGTGTCAAAGAGCTTGCAGGTCTGATCTCTCTCCAGTTTGTTGGGCCGGTCGCTACACAGTGCCAGGGGCCCGTCCCAGTAGATCCTGCTCTGGCATAGTCTTTTGGCATAAAGTCCATCTGGAGCCATCCAGAGGACCACACCCCTCTCCAGGTGGCTCAGCAGCTTCTCAATGTTCTTCCTCTGCCCATTGTCCTCTGGGTAGGGGAACAGGACCTGGTCCAGGTTGCTGGCATCGTAGGTGTGTCCATGGGAGATCCTGCAGCCTTCAGGGCTAGATGTGGTCAGCTCCTTTACCAGGATTTCCCGGTAGTACAGGCAGATATGCAGTCGACAGTCTGCAAACACAGAGCTCAGGAGTCAGTGCTATCAGACCCACCACTCGACTTGCCCCAAACAAAGCATATTGGGTAGAATATGAGTGTCCCCAGATGTACCATGAACAAGTATATTTCAGGGTCAAGAATATCTAGGAAATGCTGCGTGTCTTTCTCTCATTGCTGAAGATTCCCCGGTGAGCATGTTTTACTTAGAGAACCCCTCAGAAAGACACCTATTTAATTTGTCTAACCAAGCAGCTTCCAAATATATGTGGCCATGGATTCTTTTTTATTTCAAGAGCTGGAGGAGCATATCCTTCATTAATTTTCTGCAAAATATGTTTAAGTGATAGCTGAAAGCCTCTCTGTTATGAAGTTACAAATTCTAGGCTGGTGATGCAGCTCAGGTTGCTTAGCATTTGAGAGAGACCCTAGGGTCAATTGCCAGAACCACAAAAATTAAAATATCTTAAAAGAAAGACTTACAAAGTCATGTTTTTTAGATGAAGTTGATTATGATACTGATGACCATGTTTACATCTAAAATACTGAGTCATGTGTCACTGAAAGAGAATTCATCTTTAAGTAAATCAATTTTGACTTTGGAGGAGTTGAACAATATGTTTAATTTCTACTAGCAAAAAACAAACAAATGTTTGTTTGTGAGTGTGTGTGTGTGTGTGTGTGTGTGAATTAAAAAAAAAAAGCAATTACATCCAACATCTGAAACTTCCTAAATTATTAATATAACATTTTTTAGGTAAATATATATACATAGACACTTTGAAGCATCAGCAGGAAGGCCCTAAGTGTAGTGATTCCTAAGTGATAGAACGTGATTTTCATTTTCTTTTTTTGTTTTTCTAATCTTGAAATTAGTTTTCTACAGTGGGTATGTACTTCTTTTATCATAAAATTAATTCTTGTGGAAAAAAAAAAAAGAATCTAGGCTGGGGAGGTAGCTCAGTGGTACAGCACTTGCCCAAGGCCCTGGACTCAATCCCCTGCACAGCAATTTTTTTTTAAAGGAATCAATGAAAAAAAAATTCTCTAAGAGCCAACGGTTAATGTAAAATCTGCTTAAATTCCCCTAATCTTTGCATTTTTAAAAAAAGAACTCTAAATCTGTGCTTTTTGAAACTAAAAAATTAATTCATTTACAAAAGTTTTACTGCTTTCAGAACCCTCTTTAGAACACCACTCAAAAGGTTAAAGGACCCAGTTAGTTTTGCAAAGAGTTCCTTAAATAAAATATAAGAGGGCAACCCAGGCAGGGGACAGCTATCCAGAGGTGACTGCCTGGGATTTAACAATGACTGGGAATCATAGTTCTCTGATAAATGTATTCAAGGTTGATCATTAATCTGTATTATGCATACCAAGAAAAAAAAAGGAACCCACAAAACCCTCTTATTCCTCAAAGGTAGATTTTGATTCTTAACCCACGTCACTGTCTCTTCAATTTCTGCCACTGTAAACAGACTGAGTAAGGTGGTGCACGGATGAGAGTGGGTGTTGGCCATTGGAGGTGACTGGCAGGGCAGGTTTCATTTCATTTAATGTCATCAGAAATCACGAGGTTGCAGAGATATAAATAGCTGTTTATTTCCTACTCCTCAGGCACCCACACAAGTCTGAGGTGCTCAGAAAAAAATTTTTGAAAGACTCTAAAAACAAATACAACTCTTGCTGCTTAGAACTGGCTCCTCCTAAAGGGGATCCTCAGTTATTCATGAGCATCTCAGAAGAAAGGCACACACCTCCCTGAGAACTTCAGAACTGCAAGGAACTAGACAGTAACACTGCAGCTTTTCTGTGAACAAGGAAAGCGCCTCAACTCTGGTCTCCTGAATCTTTAGAAGTTAGTTTGTATTTTCTGTCACTGACTTTTAAAGATCTCAGAGGGCAAGGTGAGAACTCTGAAGCTTAAGCTATTTATTTTTAATGTAAGTACAAATTCCATTTAAAAACAATTAAAATATTATCTAAAGAATGAATGAACATAGACAAAGAGTCATGAAGCATCTTCCTTAAATAGCTACACTCTCTGTGGTGCAGGAATTCTTTAGAAATGGAAGTTTACAAATCAGATTGAATTCGTATTTGTTTGGAAGTCCTATCAAAGTTCAGAGGAAGACCAAAATATGCATTCCTTCTGGACATACGAAACATCATGAGACCAGGGGCTAGAACCAATGTCCCCAGGAAGCAAGTTAGGGACAACAAGTTTGCAGCTAAACATAAAAGAAATTAACAGCTTTTTGAAATGAGAAGCTTTTATATTTCCTAAGAAAATATTCTACATTGTGAGAATGTCAGCTGATAGGGGACTCTCAGTAAAGAAAAACAAGCATTTGCATATTCCTGGAAATTTGGAGAGGTGCCATTGGAGAAATTAAAATGCTTCCATTCAACCTGTGTTTGGATCTGTATCAGAACGACAAGCTAGCTGGCTTTCTAATAATGTACCTTATTCACTTTAGTGTCCTCAATGTCTGGTGATAACATGTGTCCACACCTACTCCTGACTCAAGAGGGCCCAAACAAATGTCTAAATCCCCACCAAATCTACCCAAAGGTGAGTGGAGCCAGCAGCAGAGACTGGCCTCCTGCAGGTGCCTCCAAAACCCAACATTGCACTCACCTGAGAGCGCCAAGGCTTCAGCAGACCTTATGCTTGGCTCTATGGGGATTCCAGGAGCCTGGGACTCAGGTGGGGCACAAGCATAAAAGGTTCCTGTCACCTGGCAACCTGCATTTGCAAATAAAAATCAGATGTCTAAACACAGAGTCCAATAATTAGGAGGCCACCTGAGTGTGCAATGGAGTATGGAATGGAGTCACCTTCTAACCCTAACCCAAACCCAACTGGCTCAAAGCAAGCACCCTCTGATGCAGGGCACATACTCATGAGTCAAAGACAAGCCAAAGTCCAATAGAAAAAAAGCAAGTCAAAGGAGGTATGAGCCATTGTACAGCCTTGGAAGAAAACTCAGAGCTCTCCCTCTTATTCATAAACAGGGAAAGTGAGGCTCAGAAGGAGATTAAAGGATTTGACCCTGTTCACAAAGCAAGTTCACGGCTGACTGAGAGATTAGGTCTGCCTAAGTTTTGATTACCAAAGACCCAATTAAAAACTAACAAATGTTTAGTTCATATTTATTTTACTAGCTACTTCTGGGTTCATGACAAAACTGAACCCATCTCCTGCCAGCCCAGTAGCGATGTGTCACATTAAAAACATATAGAGAAAGAATATGCTGGGATAGGGATGTAGCTCATTAGTAAAGTGCTCTGTCACTGAGTAGATCCCAACACCACAGATACAAAGGGAAAAAAAGAGAAAGAGAAAGAGAAAGAGTATGTCACAGAACCTAATTATGCTAGCAGTTCAATTATTGTTACCCATGCTTAGAAATATGTCTAGACATTCCAATTTTTTTTTTTTTTTGCCCAGTTCAAAACATTGCCTCGTGTTGCTATGCTTATTAGTTCAACAGAGTCTGATGCATTGGATACAAGTCTGAATTTCAGAAACCAGTTTAATGTTAGCGGATTCTTCACTTACAGTTTGAAAAATCAACCTTTGCTGAATATCACTCTTAAAAAGCCAATATAATTGAATCCCAAGTTTTTCTTTAAAGAACATGCTACTCAACAGACTTTATTCAGTACCAAAAGCCAAGAATGACTTGAACACGCTTGAAAAAGCAGGGAGGGAAAGACCAAATTGTAAAAGAGTAAATATTCCCAGAAAACACAAAAGGATCGGTGTGTGGACCCATCTCATGACTTCTACTTAAATAACTAACTCAAAATTCCTAAAAGCTAGTATTTTGCTGCATTGAACATACTTTGTGAAATTTTCTCTGCACATAGCTAATGAGTGCTTCTGCTGAAAGATTTCACTTTTGATACCCAAGGAACCCCTGTAGTCACAGGAACACATCTAATCCAAATTACACAAATCTTTTGGGACCCAACACTAGGCAGGCTCCTGTAAAGACCCTTTAGGGGTTTTTTTTGTTTGTTTGTTTTTTTGTAGTGTTTATCCATTCCCTTCTTATTATCATCTTTAATACCAAGAACAGCTCCAACGAACATAATTACTCTTCAAGGGACATAGAGTAATCTCCCAGTGTCCCTGCAGAGGAGAGGATCTGGGCATGACTGTAGTATGCCCATTTTACAGATGGGTAAACAGAAACAGACTAGTGAGATTATGTGACCTCAGTCAGCTAAGAGAAAATTCAGGAGGTAAGATGGCCAGAATCTATCCCTCCCCCCCCCCTTTTTTTTTTGCCTAAGTTTACAAATAAAACTTAAGGTTACTCAGGATGAAAAAATGTTAACCCATTAACCAGATAATTTAAAAATATATAGATGACCATTTTGATATATGACCTCCCCTGTCTTATGTACAAGGTTGGATTTGGGCTTAGGATATCTGACATTGAACACCAGACCTTTACTCTTACTGAGTGACTTGGGCACATTATTTACATTCTACGAGTTTCCATGATCTTCTCTGTTAAAAAAGTGTGTGTGGGGGGGCAGTTTTTGCTGCCTGGAATAATCTCTGGGGTATTTAAGGCCCCACATAGGGTTATGCCACATGGGTCCTGAAAAATCTGGTTCTGAGGAGCTTAGCATCCTATAGGACAGAGAAATCCCCCCCACCTCTCCTATCTGATACACGTGAAATCTTTCTAGCAATCTCTGAGAAGGGGAAAGCCCTATGGTGTTGCTCAGGACAACCACCCGGAATTCCCCACGGACACATGTCTAGGTCTGCTCTTCTGTCAAATGCCCTGGCACATGCCTTACCATTTTCACAAGCTGGGCCTTGCCAGTGATGGCTACGGGGACCAAACGTCATTGGACACTGATACGGGATTTCTGGGTGAGGCTGATCCGGGACATAATCCCTCCAGCTTCTATCATGGGGTGGCATCATGTAGTTATGAACCTGCTAAAGGAACACAAGAGGAGTTAAGATGAAAAACATTGGCATGGGAAAAGGGGGTGTTTTTATATCCTCCCAAACTCTCAGGGAACCCCTTCGTCGGCCAGCAGCCAATTCATTTTAACATTCGAAAAGACTGGAGTGAGCTGTTCATTACACTAGGTGGAAAACAGTCACAGAAGTTCAAAAAGCACAATGAAGACAGTGTTGTAAAGCGATGATTTATCTAAGGCTTCATCATATGGTTAAGACTGGCACCAAAAATACTGCAAGGAAACTTGCCTTCTTTTACCCACCAAAGTGAAGAAAACAGAGCTGTAATTCAAATCAGGAAAGCCTACAGAGATCAGCTGCCCTGTGGTTTCACATGATAAAGCACAACTTCCAAAATCTTCAACTACTACAAAAGGTCTGGTTCCCAGAAGATTTGAGAATCAATAGAAGAAGCACATTCCAACAGACAAGATGCACCCAAGCTCTCCTATTTAAACTAACTGGTAATCTAGGCTGTGTGGTGAGACATTCACTCAGCCACCAAGGAAATTTGTTTAGCTGTTGGACTTGTCAAGGAAAACATGAAGTCCTGCTGTTTTGTGTTTCTTCCCCTTTGTGTAGGGCCAACACACAGACCCAGGCTGGACTTCCAGAGGCTTAGTGCCCTCCCCTGTACCTGGGCCGGGAGTGGGGTATAAGATGCCGGCATGGGGTAGGGGTGGCTCATGGTCATCTGTGGGTCCTCCAGGGTGAGCTGCTTTGCTCCTGTGTGTTTGAGGAAAAGAGAAATGGTACAGAGTGAAAAAAGGAACTGATTCAACTAAACGTCAAATCTTGGAAAAATACCTGAGGCTTTAGTTCTTAGAATGCATAGCACACAGTGTTGACAAATAAGGCATTTTTAGCAATTCCCTTGGGCAGTTCATATTATTTGAACAGATGTCAACAAGATCTGACATATTATGACAGGTAGAGAAATAAATGAGATCCATGTGCTAACATGCCTTGTGACCAGCTAAGGGGCTCTTCTGGTGAGATATATCCCAGGTGGGGTCATGATTTGTATAAACTGCAGATTTCTGGGCTCTGCTCCGGACACACTGGTCAGAATCTTGAAAAGAATTGTCCAGGAATCTGACTCAGTAAGTACCCCAGCTGACTATATTATCCTCTAAAAGTGGACCTTTTTATTACTGTAAGCAGTAACAATTTAAGATGTTCCATATGCTTTCCTTTCTGGAAAATGCTACTTACCAAAGTCTATTAGATAAGTAAAGTTTTAATGGGTCTTCAAGTTTGGAAATTTGGTTCATACTATAATTGAATGGACTAATTGGTAAACACACAGTTGAAGTGTGCGCACACACATTATGTTACAGGGTTAGAGCCTGAGAAATTATCCCTTAGTAACATCACAAGGTTTTCAACTTATAACCCAGAGAACTTGGAGAAGGAGCCTGCTGGGCTTGACCATGGGACAGGAGGCAGGAGGCTATATAAAAGCAGAAATAGAAAGTGACCTTCAGAATGGAATTAAGGCATTATAAGTATCAGGCTGCCTCTATTCTGTGACCCAAATTCAGGAAAGCCCCTACCTTTTTTGGCTCCCTCAGGAACAATCCTGTACACTTTGTATGGGTCAGAGATATCCAGCTGGCTCCTCTCAACCAATTCCTCAAAGTCATTGCTCTTGTTCAAAGCGCATCGCAAACGTGTCTTCCAGGTAGGAGGGTCTGGTTTATCAATGCCTTCTCGGAACTTTCCTTTAAATAGAGCCCAAGCCTGGTGGGAAAGAATGAAGAGAATGAAAAGTCAATTTCTTTCTTTTTTTTTTTTTTAAAAAAAAGAATCTTTCTAAAAGAAAAAAAAAAGGTGCTTAGTGCTTCAGGTTTATACTGTTGCTCAAAATGTGAACGGTAATGACACCAGGTGTCCTCCAGGTAAAATATTCTCACCTAGAACCCTACCATTGTCAAATTGAAGGTGAGTGGTTTCAACATTTCTGGGTGTTTATAAAAGGTGAGATGAGGCTTGGAGGCCCCTGAAGCAAGTGTGGCTGAGATTAGGGACAGAGCTGTGGAGGATTAAGTCCCCACAGGGTACATCTGGACAGTCACAAGGTCTGAAGTACTCTGTGAACAAATTCCCAGAGGAAGTCCCCTTCCCCTCCCTGCCCACAGGTGGGGGCTGGGTCTCACAGTTCACGGAGTAAAGTGCTCTAGGGGAAAGCAGTCATGAACAGGGGCACTCACACAGAAAGAAGGAGAGAGAGAGAGAGAGAGAGAGAGAGAGAGAGAGAGAGAGAGAGAGAGAGAGAAATTTCCAGAGTCTCAGAATAAAAGAGCCAGACAGAGATACCCCGAGACAGAAAGTGAGAAACAGAGATGGATGCATCCAAAGACAGCTAGAACCAGAGAGCAGAGACCAAAGGGGTGGGGGAGTGGGAACCAGAGAAACTCAGAGAGAAAACAGTGAAACAGAGACAGAAAAACAGGGAGACAGATAAGAGCACCCACAGATGCACAGAGTCAGAGGCTTACACTGACCAAAGGAGACAGGGATTTGGAGATAGGGCCTGAGATTTGGATGAAAACAGAGGAAGGCACAGAGAAGCAACCCAGAGCCCTCTAAAGGCTGCCTCCTTCAAAGACATCCCTACTTCTGGAGCCCTCTGACAGACTCCCTGGGAATTGCTCATGCCACTTGCTCAGGATTGGGGCCAAGTTCCCCATTTAAGCAATCACCTGAGAACTTCAAAGCTCCAGCCACTTATCCCGCAGGGCTCATCCCATTCTGTCGCCCCTGCCAGTCCCTTTCTTTGAAAACCGCTGCACTGGGGCCACTGACTGGACTCTCCATGGAGTCTGGGCCAAAGACTAACTGGCCTCTTTGCCACCCTCCCCAAGCCTGCCCACAAGATTCCCGCGTTCAGGTGACCTTGAAGAGGGCGGCGTCCTCCTCGCGGTTATAGTCCTGCTTGCCCGCGTGCTTCCACGGGATACGGAAGATGCTCTTCTCTTCGTTCTCCCACACAAGCCCCGGGTACTTGCCGCTGTCGATTTGGTCAATCAGCCACTGGCGGAGTTTCCCGTTGCCGCAGCTCACCGCACTCATGCCGAACTCTCCACCTCGGCCGCCGCCCTCTAGGTTCATACCCAGTTTGCCGACCACCGCCCTGGAGCTCACCCAGAATTCGCCTCCAGTACTGGCTCCACGCTGCAGGGGAGAAGAAAGCTGCCCTTCAGTCACCGCTGCACAGCGCTCGGACACCCAGTCCTGAACGCTTTTGGCAGTGACCACGCTGTGAAGCGCGTGCGTGTAATGTCAGTGTCACCCAAGTACCCTGAGAGAAGGTACCTTTGCGACAAGCCCCGGAGCATCCCCTTGGCGCGCACAGTTCTGCGGCTTCCTGAGCGCGCCCTCCGTGAAGCCCGTCTGCTCACCCCACCTTCCAGCACTCTATTAATTTAACTCATTTCACATCCCCAAAGCTCTCCAGGTACACAACTTTTCGCACGCTCCCAAATCCAATTGCCACCAGTCTTGACACTGCGTTTGCCCGCTCACCTGTCGTTTCCGCTGCTCTCTGCTCGCTCCAAAGCCATTACCATCTCATTTTCCCCTTTACTATTAGTTTCCACTCTTTTTCACTCCATTCACACTCCCTTGGTGGTTCCCATGCGCGGAGGACCTCGCACGTGGCTGTCCCATGTTTGGGGTTTACAGGTGCATAGCACCTACTTCTCCCGCCGCTCCACACCCCCACCCCGTTCTCTTCTCCCGCAACCTTTAACTCTGTCCTTTAAATAACCCTAGCTCTCTTCAGCCAACCAGGATTAAGTGGGCCCTCTGAGCAACAAATGTGTACTATTGGAGGAGCGCAGCCCAGCAGCTGGAGATTCCCGCGCGTTGAGAGTCAGAATGATACCCAAACCAGTGAGGGAGAGTTGGGACAAGAAGGGACCCAAGGAAGGCGAGGCCAGCTCCTGTGCCTGGGAAGCGAAGGAGTGCACTGAGCAGGGGTTGAGGCGGTAACGCTCAGGCCTCCCAGCTGCCCAAATTTGGAGCTCCTCCTTCCTCATCAGCCCGGTAGTTACACGCTGACGGTAGTTGAGTTTGGGACCCTTAAGAATGAGATTCAGGGGAAGGAGCCAATAGGGTCAGGGGTTGTCCTCCCGCGGAGGAGCCTGCTGCTCCGTGTGGTTTCCTTTGACCGCCCGGCCTCAGCCATTCCTGGATCCCAGACAGTCCCGTTAGCTCATCTGGTACCGCGCGTGGCACCTCCAGGGCGCAGGTCGGGCTGACCAGCTAAGTGGCAGTGGGGTCCAGGATCTGAGAGAGCCCGCAGCAGGACAGGCAGTACAAACTCCCTGGGTCCGGTGCAGATGGGGTGGGAATCTGAGCTCCCTAACTTGGCCCCGCTCCCTTCCCCCTCCAAAGCTGGGGTCCCCTGCGTAGCCTTGAGATGGAACCCGGGACTTCTAGTTTGTGCTCCCTGCCCTCTCAAGCCAGCCTCACACTTCTCTTGACCCACTCCAGTCCTTACCTCTCCCGGTACTAGGAGCTGAGGGCAGCGGTGTGTCCCAAGTTCAAGTGGTGAAACTAAGAGAGTGAGGTGAGAAAGAGGAACTTTATAGAGCTTGAAAGCCGCGCTGGGGGCGGGGCGGAGGCGGGACGGGGGAGGCTCCTCCTGCGGCGCGGAGGGGGGCGCCTGGCTAACGGAGACGCAGCGCAGGAGGACGAGCCCCAGCTTCTGGATGGAGGCGAGGGGCAGCTGGTGACCCGGTTGGGGACTCTGGTGGCTCTCCGCGACCCTCTGTTCATCTAGTCGGAGAGCGCACTTGGAGCCTGGAGCGTCCCATCTCTGGGACTGTCACTGCGGACCGTTTCCCGCGAAGGGCGAGGCGCGAAATGGGGATCTCACCTCCCCGCCAGGATCTGCCCCGAGTCCCGTCAATAACTAGTGACAACCAAACGGCAGCAATGTGGCTTGGGCGGGAAGTGGGGGGGAGTGTAGTGGTAGGAATTTGGTGAAAAGAGAACTTTTGTTTTCAGAGCACGTAACCGGGTTGTCCACTTACTGAAGACTGGAGTGAGGGGTGGAGGAGCATCTTTGTCAAGGGAGAACCCTACCTCTCCGCGGTGTTAGAGAACATCGCACTCTTTTAAAAGAAAATAGGAAATGGCCAGGATCCTTGGAGCCATAAACCGCGGTTCAAATACTGTGTACATCTTTGAAATGCCTGCATACTTTTTCGTCTATTAAACTGGTGAATTGAGGTGATTCAGACCATGCAGGGCCCGCAAAGTTTCAATTACTGTAAGATGAAAGAGATGGCAGCATGCGGGGGGGGGGGGTCCCCGAAGTATCCAAGTACCCACATAAAAATGATAAAGTTTAAACCTCAGCCTGGTGGAAAGCAATTTAATAGTCGGGTATAAATACCCCAAATGAGAGTAATATTTAAGTGGATCCAGGCTTTTACTTAATTTTCCAAGCTGTCTTTGATTTCCAAAACTCACTCCCTGAGCTTTCACCCACTGAACTTTCACCAGATTGTCTTGGATTCGCTGAGCATGTTTATTTACTTAGCATTTTCAGGTAAACCGTCAGATCACCACTTTCTATATGATTTTAGATCACCACCACTCCAGGTCAGCTTGCAACTTTTGAAAAGCTTTTAATTTCACTTATTTCTCAGTTTTTCTTTTAATCTTATATATTGGGTCAATGTCTCCTAACTGAAGCAAAAACTAAGTTTAGGCCAGAGCAAGACTGGGAGGGAGGTACAGATAGATATGCTTATTTCTAAAACCAAAAGACTTTCTCAGAAATTTACAGGATGGCATGTTTTTATTTCACTCAAGTAAGTTTTCCATTATCAGAGTCTAGGTAATAAACAACAGGGTTTCATTCAAAGAAAAAATTCTGGTCATAACCTGTTTTGCTTCCTTTCTTCTTTCAGAATTATTCACCCACCAAATATTTTTTTGAGTACCTACTATTTGTTAGGAATTATTATTAGGCACTTGGAACACCTCTGTGAACAAAGCAAAGATTGCTGCCTTCAGGTTGCATTACATTTTCATCAGTGAATTACCTTTTTCCAAAATATGCACTAACATACCAGACAGAAGGAGATCACTAAGGACAAAAATGGCAAAGTAGAGCTTTTTGCACTTTCCCACACGTGTGCTGTGCATTAGGCTTAGTCAGTTTCAATATTTTCCTCACTTATCCACATCCTCTGTTTTTAGAAGTTCACAACAGTCATTTGATGAAACTTTCTGAGACTCTACACAGCCACATTCTTTAAAATGTGATTGCTAACCTTCAACGCCATCTTCTGGTTTACTTGTTTATCATATTGATCCCCTAGACTGGATTTTTTTTTTTTTGATGATGATGAGGAGGAGGTGAATACAAAGTGTAAGCTATTTGAATCACTAAAACTCTTGATGTCCTCATTATCCCTGGAGGAGAGGATTGAATGACCAGGTAGGTACTGCTAATTGATCACCAAGGACTTACATATCCTAGTCATAGTTGAAACAAAAATATGACAGTATTTTTTAGTTAGAGCTTCCTCTTACACTAACCTCCAAACTGAGACTTGAGAAAATCAACATGTTCCATAGTAAAAGACTAGACCTTTGTCTTCAAATGCAACAACTTGCTGAAAATGAAAACAAATGGGAAAATCAGTTAATTAAATGTCTACCCCCAAACAAAGGCTGATTCTTATATTCCATAAGAAAGTTATTTCATTGAGTTATCCAGATGAAGTGCTGTTGAAAATAGAGCCTGACCAGAAAGGAATATTTCAATTTTCAATTCACATATATCTTAGACTGTAAGAGAAATGAATGTACCCAAATTCAACATTTAAAAAATCAACCTTTTAAAACTATACTCTCATGTGTAAGAAGAATACTTTAGAAAAAAACATTAGACACATAAAAAATAAGTGATTGAGCTGATGGTGTGGCTCAGTGGTAGAGCACTTGTGTAGCATGTGCAAGACCCTGAGGTTCCATCCCCAGTGCGCACACACACACACACACACACACACAACTGGAACCTTGTTTTGGATAATATTATTTTCTCATTAATTTATTCTTTAAAAGGGAAGGGAATTAATAGTTAAAAACAATGCAACTCTATTATTAAAAGAAATTTAAAGGACATTTTAATTTATTGTAAAAAAGTATGAAAATACTAAAAATGTTCTGCTGTTTTAATAAATTCATACAGGGTAGTGTCTCCTCTAATGCTCTTTGGTTATCTGTGTATGCAATGCTAATTATTACCATTGACCAGGACATCATGTATGGCAGGAAGGTAGTGCTACTACTGGTGATTAAATATTGGAGCTTGAGTGTCATCAGGAGCTGGTTCAGACCAGTGAGGCCTTGGATGGGTTACTTGTTCAGTGAGGGGGATATTGTTCCTGCTTCCGAGCAGTTTTATGGTATTAAAGTAATGCTTGCATAGTGCCTTATGAGTGTTCAACAAATCGGGACTTATCACTTACATCATACTTATTATCACTTACATCATACTTCATCACTTGGGGAAGTGTCACAGAATTTATCTAATTTGATTCCCCCAATGGTATCTGCTTTGTGGGCAGGATGGCCAGAATTCAGCCCCGTTGAACAGATAAGGAAAGAGATCCTGAGAGCACTGAGGTCCAAGAGGCTTGCCCAATAACACAGCCCTGAGGAACTGTTCTTTCTGGGAGTACACAGCCATTTGGCTGCCCCTGGAGTTAATATTTCCCAACCAGCCTCTGAGAGCATGGGATGTGATATGTTTGTCTGGGCCTGACACTCAGTGGTTCAGTTAGCATGGATAAGATTCCCTGTCTGTGAAGCAGAGGTTGCCAAGAGGTGACCACGGAACCCTCTTTCCACCCTAAATAATTTTCTTTCTGTTCTAACTTGCAACCATTAATGGTTTCCTGGTGGCTTTATTGTTTATGATAAATTTGGAATAAGAAAAGCTGAATTTTTTTTTTAAAAAAGCCACCGACCTAACCACTGGTCTTCACTTCATTCTTCTTCACGAAGCTATGTTCATTTTGAGGAAATTGGAGGAAACGGGTGCAGTTTCTCAACCACTCCCCTTAACTATTTAATCCTCTGATGGGGGAACAAAATCTAACCTTATAAGTTACTTATATAAGAGAGATGTTGAAATGGAACATTCTAAGATGAAATTACCTGTTAAATGCTCTCACTACACACTTAGTTAAAAAAAAATTGAGTTGAACATTCTTTGTAAAGTGATGTACTCTTTGGTAATACTAATAAGATGTGTAAACCTGGATTTTTTTCATAAAAAAACCCTGTATGTACTTTCCTAATATAATTTGCAAATGCTTTGAGTTTTTTTGATGAAGGGATTTGCAGAGCTCTAGCATTAAGCATTCCCAGAGCACAGGTTATTGAGAAGAGCTTGTGGACTCCTTTAGTGCACAGAGTTAAGGTGCATGTTTTTTTCCTAAGCAGGGTATAACCCAGTCAGGGATTTTAATCAATTTTGAAATAAGAAGTCGCAAAGTCAAAAACACTAGGGCGGGAGGGTGGAGGATGGGAAAGGCAGCGGAGCACAACAGACACTAGTATGGCAATTTGTAAATCAATGGATGTGTAACTGATGTGATTCTGCAATCTGTGTATGGGGTGAAGGTGGGAGTTCATAACCCACTTGAATCAAAGTGTGGAATATGATATGTCAAGAAATTTGTAATGTTTTGAACAACCCACAATAAAAAATTAAAAAAAAAAACACTAGGGCAATGGTGCCTCCTTTCTCCTGTTTACAAACAACTCCCCATTCCCTTTTTGCCTCCTCTTGTTGTTAGCATTCTAAGAAGTCTCCTTGTAACACTCCTTTCTCTCTGAATCATTATGCTCCCTACATAAGCAGTGACGTGGCTTTAAAGGAGGAACCACTTGATACTGCCAACTCCCTCCACCAAGCCAACAAAAATGCAAATGGTTTGCAATCACTTTGGGCAGTTTTCTGAAAACTGAAGCAATAGGTGAAAGGCAAATGGCTTTTTCTAATTTCATGCATTTGTAGCCGTGCATAACGTCAATTTTTTTCTAAACTTCATCAACTGTTCTTTCAGCTAAGCATTGTGTATTATCACTGTCACACACACAGTGTTACTCCTGAGACTCTGAGGTACTCTGAGTACCCCAGAAAAGGGTACTCAGGAAAAGTAACATTGTCCTGTGGTACCAAGACACCCCTGAGAATTGGGTGTGTATGTGTTAACTTCTGGCTCACTTGAGCTTTTCATGGAGGCTCATTATCGCTCTGAGAATTCAGGATGACAAAGGAGCATCCACGTGGAACATCCCTGATTATTTGGCAAGAGAAAGGATTCAGGGAGAACCATGTGATGGTTCTTCAAGCTTGTGCTTGGAAGTGAGTTAGGTCACCATAACTCATATTCCCCTGTAATAAGGTAAGGAATATAGCATGGGTGTGGTGGGAGTGAGAGTAATGGCCTAGAGTCCTGGGAGGACTGGGAGAAGAGATGATTAAACCCTCAGGGGCAGAAGATGGGTCACAGAGGAGGTGATAGAAGAGGACACCAGAGT